TCCTTGGATCGGCGTTCCGCGCGCCACGATCCGAGAATCCCGCGCAGACCTCAGTGTTTGTTATGTTCATGGCATTGTTAGTTCCGCGGTCGGGACGATCGAAATGAGTGCGCAATGGTGTTCACGGTTCGGTCGGTTCGGCTGTGTCGCAGTCGTTTGTGTTCGGTCGGTTCGGTTTGGTCGGTGATCGTGTCGTTGCCGCGTCGTTGCGCCCTTCTAGGTTGCTCTCGGCCTGTCGGTTTCGGGCGGTTTCGGTGTAGCAGTCGATTCGGTCGATTTGTCGGTGTTGTCGTCGCCGTGCATTGCGTTGGATCGAAATGGGCACGGAAAGAATGGGCACAAAGACCCACAGCATATCCTCTTCATTTTAAACTTGACTCGCTTTCTTTTCCGCCGCGGACGTCGTCCATTTCAGAAGGCCGTTTGCCCAACAGCGACAATTGTTGGTTATGGACGTCATTTGTCGTTTTGCATTGTGTGGATTTTTCCCCAAGGAATGCTCCCAAGCAATGCTTACACTTCGGGGTTCTAATTTGTCCTCTGAGGACACGGGCCGTGTCTTCGGTCTGGCGGCTATGTGCTCGCCGTCGCCGCCCCGTCGCTTCTTCGTCGCTGCCCGTCGTGAGGGCCGTGTCTTCGGTCTGGCGGCTATGTGGCCGCCGTCGCCCTCCCGTCGCCTCTTCGTCGCGGGCTCGCGTAATCTTCCCTTTCGTCCGGATAATCGGGTCTACCCCCGGGCCTCCCCCTCTCACATTTAATGAGTCCCCTTTCCGTATTGCAATGTACGGATGATTTTGCCCCTATCGCCCATCCTGAATATGAGTTCGTATCTTCCCAGCGAAATCGGTATCGCACGCCTTTTTTTTTGCAGACAATCATATGCGCGCTCATTCGCTTGTATCACAAAGACCCGTTCACAAAAAATCCCTTGCGAATGTGGGACGAAATGCGCGCGCGCGTCGTCGCGCGCGCATGCAGAAATCCAACAAACACCGAAGGATCTGCAAGGATTTCAAATTCGGTTGTCCCGATCATCTAATGATCTCGTGGTTTCGCAATAAGGATATGTTCTAGAAAAGCTTGCGCCCAGGCTCCTGCGAATTCTGAAGAAAACCATCGGTTGTTCAACATGTCCACTGAGTGATACCCCACAGGTCTCGCGCGCGCGTGCCGGAATCGCTCGAACGCCCGTGCGCGTGTGTAGCACATGAGACGAAGTGCATACGCGCGCGTCGCCGCGCGTGCATGCCGGATCATTTTTGCGAAAAAAAACATTTCGTGTCGAAGGGATGTCAAAATCGAATGCCCCGAAATGTGTTGTTTGGCGTTATCAGTTTGCAAAGATGCCTGCGCTCGCGCACCTGCGAATTCTTAACAACATCTTTTTGCTTTCCCGTCGTCACCAGAAGTTCTACCATCATTATCGCGCCTACCGTTGTCGACGTTGCCATGGTACCGCGCCCGCCCAAGTCGCCGAATCGCACTGACATGCCCGCTGTGAAATTGCCCGCCGGTCAACGCCACCGCGGCTGCGTCGGTCGCGCCAATCTCGCGGGCCGCTGCGCGCGCGAGCATGCGCGGGCTAGCGCGGCCGCAGAGATCCACCACTCAACACCAACGACTCCTCGCAATCGCCGCCGCGTGAGCTTTGAAAACCAACTTGCTGGCGGGTGGGTCAGATGATTGCGCGAGCATTGGAGTTGTCAGCTTCAAGTACGGCAACCAGCTCGCACCGCATGGGTTGCGCCGCGTAGATTAATCACTCCACGTCGATTGCACATTATATGCGAGCTGCATCGGTTCCCCATTAAGATCCACATTTCCCCCCTGTGTTAAACGCTTTTTTTTGTTACAGTGTACCTATGCTTTTCTTCCCCATCGTCCATTCCGAATATGAGCTCATACCACCATCCAAACCGTTTTTTTTTATCGCCCTCCCTTTCATTCTCTGCTACACATGCTATGCGCGCGCACCCGTTTACAACAGATAATCAGTTCGCAAGAACCCCCCGCAGAAAGCAAAACGAATGCACGCGCGCGCGTCGTCGCACGCGCACGCGGGCGCCCTTTGAATATTTCAGGTCTCGCCAAGATTCCAAAGCTCGGCACCCCGAAAACGTTCGGAAACACATGGTTTTGCAACACGAATCTTCCAAAAACGCTTGGGCCCCCGCTCTTGCGAGTTCTTTTTGGGCAAACCTTACGTTTCTCAACACTTTCATCACATGCCACCAAACGGGCCTCTCGCGCGCGCATGCCGAAATTGGTCGAATGCCCTTCCGTGCGCGTTGACGCAATAATCACATGCAACAAATGGAACGAGGGTCATGTGCGCGCGTCGTTGCGCGCGCATGCCGAAATTCGTTCAAAACCTAGGTTTCGCCAAGATTTCAACGCCCAGTGTCCCGAAGCACACAAACACAAACACTGTTTCGCAACAAGGGTGTTCAAAACAACCTTCGCTCGTGCTCTTACGAGTCTGTCAAAAAAACCATCGGGT